TACACACTGTGTGAAGCTGTACTTGATTTTCCTATTCATTCCGCTAAACGCTGCCTATATACATATACGTTTTTTATGCCACCGCAGCATCTGCGATGCGGTGGCATATAGCGATTTACTTGTGTGTTTGTGCGTGTGTTTGTTTGTGTGTGTGTGTTCTATAGATTATATTGTGAACTTAAAAAATCTTCTTGTGAAAAACCACTAGTCCAATTTCAACCAAACTTGGCAGGATTGATCCTTGGGTGAAGGGCTTCCAAAGTTGTTCAAAGAATTTCATTCCATACAGAAGTCTGGTTGCCATGGCAACCAAAAGGAATTATAAGAATAAATAAAAAAAAATCTTCTTGTATAGACTCAAAAGGCCTAGAGCTTAGATATTTTGCATAAGGCATTGTCTGGTAGACCCTGACCCAAGATTGTTCAAATTATAGCCATGGGGTCAAAATCGGCCCTGTCCAGGGGGTCATTGATTTTCATTATATGTACATATAGTAAAAACTTAAAATACCTTCTTGTAAAGACCCAAAAGGCCTAGAGCTTAGATATTTCTGTGATGCGGTGGCATATAGCGATTCACCTGTGTGTTTGTGTGTGTGTTTGTGTGTGTGTTCTATAGATTATATTGTGAACTTAAAAAATCTTCTTGTGAAAAACCACTAGTCCAATTTCAACCAAACTTGGCAGGATTGATCCTTGGGTGAAGGGCTTCCAAATTTTTTCAAAGAATTTCATTCCATGCAGAAATCTGGTTGCCATGGCAACCAAAAGGAATTATAAGAATAAATTTAAAAAATCTTCTTGTAAAGACCCAAAAGGCCTAGAGCTTAAATATTTTGCATAAGGCATTGTCTGGTAGATCTCTACCAAGATTGTTCAAATTTTAGCCCTGGGGTCAAAATTGGCCCCGTCCGTAGGATCATTGATTTTCACTATAATTATGTACATAATTATAGTAAAAACTTAAAATACCTTCTTGTAAAGACCCAAAAAGCCTAGAGCTTAGATATTTTGCATAAGGCATTGTCTGGTAGACCCTGACCCAAGATTGTTCAAATTATAGCCCTGGGGTCAAAATCGGTTTGCCCCGGGGTCATTGATTTTCACTATATGTACATATAGTAAAAACTTAAAATACCTTCTTGTAAAGACCCAAAAGGCCTAGAGCTTAATTTTTTTGCATAAGGCATTGTCTGGTAGACCTCTACCCAGATTGTTCAAATTATAGCCCTGGGGTCAAAATCGGCTCCACCCCGGGGGTTATTGGTTTTCACTATATGTATATAGTAAAATCTTATAATAAAACTTTAAAAAAAATTCTTCTAGCAATTGACAAATGCTAGAGGTTAGATATTTTGCATGAAACATTGTGTAGTGAACCTCTCGCAAGATTGTTCAAATGATAGCCCTTGCTCCCGCCCCAGGGGTCATTAATTTTCAATATATACATATAGTAAAAAATAAAAAATCTTATTGTCTGAAGGAAATTAAGGCTTTGAGCTTTAATATTTGTTAAATGATATCATCTAAAGGTACTCTACCAAAGTTGTTCAAATTTTGCCTTTAGTGTCAAAATTAGCCTCGCCCGGGGGCCGTAGGTTTTCTTTATATGTATAATTAGTAAAAACTTAAAAAATCTTCTTCTGTGAATTGTCAAAGGCTAGAGGTTAAATATATGGCATGAGACTTTGCGAAGAGAACCTCTACCAAGATTGTTCAAATTATAGCCCTGGGGTCAAAATTGGTTGCGCCTTGGGGGTCATTGATTTTCATTATGTACATATAGTAAAAAAATAAAAAATATTTTTGTCTGAAGGTACATGGCATAGAGCTTTGATGTTTGCTATATAGTATCATCTATTGGTCCTCAGTACCAAAGTTGTTCAAATTTTTCCCCTGGTGTCAAAATTGGCCCTGCCTGGGGGCAGTGATTCTCATTATGTACACATAGCAAAAACAGAAAATAAAACAAATGTTTTCTGAATGGGAGAAAGCTACAGCTGAGAAATTTGACTTCAAATGTTGTTTGGTGGACCTGTATCAAGATTGTTTTGAATTAAACCCTTGGGTCAAAATTTTGCCTTGCCCAAGGGGACAGTGACCTACTTTCTTGTCCTTTGATGTACAGCAATGAAATTTTGACCATGTGCACAGTTTTAGTTGTAAAATTGAACAAGATTTTGATGATGCCACCTACTTTCTTGTCCTTTGATGTACAGCCATGAAATTTGAACCATGTGCACAGATTAAGATGTAAAGTGAACTTTGATATCAGCTGAACTAGATTTTGACTAACTGCGTTGTCCTTATGTAGTCATGAAATTTAGGCTTTGTAAAATATGACCTTCATCAACAAATTCACTTGACTCAAGTGCATAGATATATTCCTACCCTGATCTTTTATTGGATTAACAATAGATTTAACCACTAATCTGATAATAAGAATTAGATGGGTCAGGGATCTATGCATTATGACAATCTTCAGTTGTATAGAAACAAAAAAAATCTGTTCCTACACTACTATTTAGTGTTGTATTAATGCTGTGGCATAGCATTTTTCTCAAATGCAATCTTGTTTACAAATATAAACTTTTGATCTTCAGAGTGGACTTATTTAACTACAATAAATTTGATTTGGTATAAAAGTGAGAAAAAAACATAACGATTTCCACGTGTTGATGCATTATAATTTTATTGTTTCATAATAAATATTAACAACAAAACAATAGTTATACTATGTAGTTCAGAGTTTGTTTTGAATAATAACTATAAACTTTGAAAGTCTCTTGAAGATTCAAAATATCAGCAAGCATTAAATGACTAATCTGTAAAGAAATTAATTGCAACGCGCTTTCGGACTTTACAGGCTTTGGAGTCCATGGACTCTATGTTTTAAAGTCCTAGTGAGAACCCTGCATGTACACATGTGTTATTGACCTCAATAAATGTAAGTGAAAATGGAACAATAATTATGGTAATTATCCATGTTGCTAGAAATACTTAATTATCTTTATCATATTGTTAACTAAGCAAGAAGCTTAAAATTTAAAAATTACCTAACCTTACAATAGTTATCTATTTAAACTTGAAAATCTACTCAAAATGACTTCCCAAACAGTAATTTTTGAAACATGAAAATGATTTATGTAGAAAAATAACACAAGAAAAAACTGATTTTAAAAAAGAAAAATACTTTTAAGATCTATTCTTAAGGTTAGCGACATAATTTAAAGGCCATCATGGCCCCCATCTTGGCCCTCTTGTTTTCAATCAGGTATGTTTGATAAAATTCAAAAGCATCAAATATGCTGTGCATGTTGACAATCATATATTAATTGGGTCATGGATCAGTTCTTGTTTTTATGCCCCCGGGCATATAGTAATTGAACTGTCCGTCTGTCTGTACGAGGTTAACCTAGAACGGCAAGTTGGATTTTTCTTAAGTTCTACCTGTACCAATGGCTTCTTAGTTTACACACTTACTAATCAGTACAAAGTACATTATCTGGTCAAGTTACATAACTATGGCTTCCATATTTACCAAGTTATTGCCCTTTTCAGCACTTAAAAAATGAATAATGGTTAACCTAAAACAGCAAGTTGGAAATATCTTAAGTTCTATCTATACTAATGGCTTCATAATTTCCACACTTACTTATCAATACAAAGTACATGATATTGCCAAGTTATATAACTGTGTCATCCATATTTCCCAGTCATTTCCCTTTTTTCACTTTGAAAATAGGGCCTTGTCTGGTTAACCTATTCCGGCAAGTTAGATTTATCGTAAATTTCTCTTAATTGCTTAATTTATTTAATGATATCTTGCATATTTGGTAGGTGGATACCTTTAATGGTCCGGAGAAAGTGGTCTCTTGGGTCAAGGTCAAGGTCACTGGTTTAGAAAATAAATTTAAACATTTTTGCTGATACAGCCTTTATTTTTATGCTCTTCGGGGGAGCATATAGTCGCCGCCTTGTCCGTCCGTCCGTCCCCTTTTCTTGTCCGGGACATAACTTTGAAACAACAAGAGGTATCAACATGAAACTTTGTAGGTAGATAGATCTCATTGAGTAGGTGTGCAGTGCACAAGAACCGTAACTCTGCCTTGCCTAATTTTTGAATTATTCTCCTTTGTGATCAAGGTCAAGGTCACTGTTACTCAAAATAGAAATTCAGTTTCCGCTCAATAACTTAAGTTTGCTTTGGCCTATTGACACCAAACTTGGTGAATGGATAGCTTATATCAAGAGGCAGCTTGGGATTGCTACCCAGGTGTCTGTGATCAAGGTCAAGGTCACTGTTACTCAAAATAGAAATTCAGTTTCCGCTCAATAACTTAAGTTTGCTTTGGCCTATTGACACCAAACTTGGTGAATGGATAGCTTATATCAAGAGGCAGCTTGGGATTGCTACCCAGGTGTCTGTGATCAGGGTCAAGGTCACTGTTACTACAATAGAAATTCAGTTTCCGCTCAATAATGAGTTTGCTTTGGCCTATTGACACCAAACTTGGTGTATGGATAGCTTATATCAAGAGGCAGCTTGGGATTGCTACCCAGGTGTCTGTGATCAAGGTCAAGGTCACTGTTACTAAAAATGGGCAGGCAGGCGGGCAGCGTCAACTTTTGGTTTCCACTCAATAACTTAAGTTTGCTTTGGCCTATTGGCACCAAACTTGGTGTGTAGGTAGCCTATATCAAGAGGCAGCTTGGGATTGCTACCCAGGTGTCTGTGATCAAGGTCAAGGTCACTGTTACTGAAAATAGAAATTCAGTTTCCGCTCAATAACTTGAGTTTGCTTTGGCCTATTGACACCAAACTTGGTGAATGGATAGCTTATATCAAGAGGCAGTTTGGGATTGCTACCCAGGTGTCTGTGATCAAGGTCAAGGTCACTGTTACTAAAAATAGAAATTCAGTTTCTGCTCAATAAGTTGAGTTTGCTTTGGCCTATTGACACCAAACTTGGTGTATTGATAGCTTATATCAAGAGTAGAAACCCCAGATAAACCGATAATCTGATTAGAATTAGCGTGACTGGTAGGGGGTCACTGGCTTTGATCAAATCTCCTATAAACTTATTAATTTTGTATTTTAATGAAACTTATATATAATTAAAGAAAATAAAATTTTGCTTAAAATGGTTTTTGAATCGTGAAAATATATTCATAAATAAGAAAAATATCGCCAGTTAAACTTCAATGTGTATGTACTTTTCCGCTCCCGCTGCGAGGTCGGTATCTCGGACGCGGTCTTGTAAACATATGCTTGTTTATAAATAGATGCGATCATGTGATAATGTCGTGTAAAAATATCATCACGTGATCTAATTTAAATAAATATAGTTCTTCCGGTTCGTTTTTGAATCATTTTTCTGTCGCCATTTTTTCCGAAGATATCGTTCTCCAAAGTCAAGCGCTTGTTGTTACGTCAATATTAGGTAATGTACATCGATTCAAATATGTTTAAAAACTTCAAATTTAGACAATTCTTTTGATGTATGAATTTTAAAAATGCGTGGGAAAATGCCCGTCGCATGTTAATTTGAAGTTGAAAGGTCACGCACCTGAGCGCGTGATCAGAGGTGAAAGGTCGCCGCCATTTTGATGATATTGATAAGGCGAAAACAATCGAGAACAAATCCCATATATAGCCTTACAAAACCGATATTAGGTACAAATAATGGTTGTTATTCTTTTTAAACAATATATTTAATCATTCTAAATATGTTTTTATATACTGCAAAGTATTTAAAAGAAAATATGCCCGTTTTAAAAATTGACCTAGATTGACCCGAAACGTGAACATGTATTTTTTTTTGTAAACAAAAAAAATAATACAAACATTGTCATTTATTAATCGGTTTTACTGTTTGAAATTTATAATTTAATACCAGAAAAAACGTAGGAATATATTTAAATTAGGATTTGAAACTTGAGTTTCTTAAAAGAATGAACATTTTAGTCATTTATCAGTACATGTATATAGGATAATTGAATAGAGGACACTGCTGGAAATTTGTTGTTTTGGGTTTTTAGCTCGACTTTTCTATGAAAAGGGGAGCTATCCTACTCGCCCCGGCGTCGGCGTCGGCGTTGGCGTCACACCTTGGTTAAGTTTTTCGTACCACCCCACTTTATTTCAGAAGTATTACAAGTATGGCTTTGAAACTTACCATACTTGTTCACCATCATAACCTCCATCTACAGACAAGAGTACATAACTCTGTCAAGGTTTTTGACAGAATTATGGCCCTTTTTTGACTTAGAAAGTGTATTGAGCTTGGTTAAGTTTTTTGTACCACCTCACTTTATTTCAAAACCATTGGAGGTATTGCTTTGAAACTGACCATACTTGTTTACCATCACGACCTTCATCAACAGACAAGAGGACATAACTCTGTCAAGGTTTTTGACAGAATTATGCCCCTTTTTGACTTAGAAAATACATTGAATATGGGTAAAATCCACTTATTGCCTTAACCCTTTGAGATATTGCTTTGAAACTTTTAATGCTATTTCACATCATTACCCCATCTGTACGCAAGAGAAGGTAACTCTGTCAAGGATTTGTTTTAAAAATTAAGGCCTTTTATCGACTTAGAATCTTGGTTAAGTTTTTAGTACCAGTCCACTTTTTGACTGAACTGTTTGAGATATTAATTTGAAAGTTGGAATACTTGTTTACAATCATGATTCCCAAACATGTCCAGGAGAAGGTAATTCTGTCAAAGATTTTATTTGAATTATGGCCCTTAACTGTCAATGTTTTGTATTATAGGCAAGCACTAAAAAACTTAAAAAATCTAAAAAAATTCATTCCTATCCACTTGTTCACTTTACCATAAATTATGTCATATAAACATTGCTGTAATATTCAAGGGTATCAAACAACTAGTTCACTTTAAAAATACAGAGATTCTTGTATTGCCTTTTACTGCAAAAACTTTTTTTATTGGCAAGCAATAAAAAAGTCGAGCGCGCTGTCTTACGGACAGCTCTTGTTAATATCCAAATCAGCTACTGATGACCTAGACAACAAAGATATAAATAAACACATTAAGTAAGATATAAAATGAATGTTTTTTTCAAATAAACAATATAATAAAACATTAAAATAATGCAAGCACTATTTGCCCTGAAGTGAAGATATTTCTTTCATATGAAAATTAAGGTAGTAGATTTATAGCTTTATAAACTGAAAATGTAATGGTAAAATATTTGAATATGATTTCATTTATTTCAGGGAAATGATATGGATTCCAAGACTTCCCAAGAAGATTCAGAAGGGTCATACCTTGGCCCCTTTTGTCGAGCCATCAACCTATCTGTGAAAGACCTAGACACAAAAACAATCACCAGCATCCAAAATGGAACTCTTAGTGTAGGCGTGGTGATAGAGTTGTCTAAATACATACAAAAACAGAGATTGACTCAGTCCAGACTGATTGAATATGTAGTTTTACTACAACCTAACCTTAAGATGCAGAATGCAAATACCCTAAAGACTCGTATTAACAGAATATTGGAAACCCAGAAAAAGTTTGAGAAAAAGACAAAAGTGCCAAAATATAAGACAATTCAAGACTTCCACAGTGATTTGTTAACACTGACTGTAAATAACAAGTCTAAAACAACACAAATTGATGCCAACTTTCCCAAAGCCAATGACTCAGAATCAGATTCTGTGATGAATGAGACCTGTCCCAAGTCACCTATACAGATGTCACCAGCAAATGAAACTTTTCCCAGTCCCACGTCCCCTATCAAACAGAAATCGTCCCCTATCAAACAGAAATTGCCAGCAAAAATGAAAACATGTCAAAATGAGGATGCCAAAAAAGAAAACAATCTGCAGTACAGAATATTGGTGAAACAAAACACACTTGAAAAGCTCACAAAACTAACTGAATCTGAAAAGCAAAATGTGGAACGTCTACAGAGTATCAAAGGTCACTTTTCTGTACGCAATGTAACTAAACGTGATGAGTGCGCCGCAAAAACACGAAAACAATTGCGTGAAACCAAGCATGCATTACTCAAAAGCAAGAATGAAGGTGAGCTGTTAAAAAGTGCTAATTCAGAGTTGCGTGCAGAACTTGAAGACTTGAAAATCTTACATGAGAAAATAAAAGCAGAAAACCAAATATTGTATGAAGAACAAAAGAAGAAAATAAATGCCCAAAAACTAAATAGTTATTACAGGACTACACTTAAGAAAATGAGAGAAGGTGATGAAAAAAGAAATGAAACTAATGACAACCTGACAAAAGACTATAATCGTGATGACAGAGACTACACACTTCAGAAAGCTTTGGCATCAGTCGAGATGGTACTTCAAGACAAAAAAAGAAAATATTAGACACTTCTATAACATTAGACAATGGTGAAATTGTTAGCCTTGGATTCAAACGAGTTGTATCAGAAACTGCTGAAAAAATCAACCTTGTCACAAAGACTCATTTAACCGAGCTAGCCAAATGTCATTCTGATTCCACTCCAAAATCGGAAAAAAGCAGCGAAAATGAAAGTACAGACTTTATAAGAGAATCACTTGAAAAGCTTGCATTCACAATGAGCGACTGCGCAGCTAATGAAAAAATGTGCTGACAAATTTTTGAATGAATGGCGAGACCAAGAACTTGAAACATGTTCAAATGAGGGCACAAAAAACTACAGTTTTGCAATTCCACTGCATGGCCCATGTCCTACTTGGCTTTCATCGGTATTATGTGATGACCTGAAAAAAGAAGAAAAAAACAATTAGTGATGAACCAATTGGCAGAGATCAGCTACCATATTTTCAAAAACTGGTCCAAGAAACAAACTGTTGCAGAAAGGGTAGCATATACTACTTCCGGCATATTTGGTCCCGCAGGTGATCATCTGGGTTTGCGCGATAAATGGGAGTCATTCTGTGCAAACAAGGGTCTTCGGTCTTTGATTGGAAACTACCGAGACAATAGATTCAATGGACTTTTCCAAACCTCAGCAGAGATTCTCCTCCATCTCAGTGACTTTTTAGAGGTCATCAAAAATGTCCCTTGTCCAAACAAAAAAATCAAAGCAGTTGAAGCAGACCTTCAATCACCAATTGTCCAAACAATGCTTTCAGCATGAACAGCTATGTATGTGAAGGTTACAGGACCATACTGGTGGTTAGTTACCTCTGGCTCAGTAAAATATTTGGAGTTGTTTCCTTATATCAACAGTTTGTGGGTTTTCTTAGACGAATGTGAAAAAGAACCAATTACAATGATCGAAAAGGAATGGTTGCCTAATGCCTATGTTCCTCATGTTGACAAATATCAAAAGTGTGTGGAAGAAAGACAAAATGAACTGTCAAACAGGCTGACATCCATACTATGTGGTTCAATGAAAAGAACTGTAGAAAAACAGCAGACTTTCTTGAAGGTGGCCGTTATGCAGAAACCCTATCAAAATCTGACCTCCAAAGAACACAATATGCCCATGTTACAAATTTAGGATGTGAACACCATTTTGGTGACTTAGACAGTTCACAACGAAGACGCCCAAATGCATCCTTCCTCCATCATTCAAGTGTACAACTGATAAAAAGAAATAGACGCCAGTTGTTCAAATGACTTGAAAAAAAACATGAAAGTGAAAAAAATGATTTATTGAAAGCTGCTCGCAAAGGTGGAAGGAACCTCAGGGAAATTCACACAGCTGAGGAGACTTCGGTACGACGAGAGCTGTTCGAATCGATGACCCAAAAACCTAAACCAAAACGACGCAAAGTTGTGTGTACACCACAACCTGATGTTCCTACTACTACGGTTGACCAATTTGATTTCCGTCTTGGCGATTATGTAGCTATCGCATACCAGGATGCCTGGTATCCTGGTTGTGTAGAAAAGGTTGAGAAGGATGTAGCCACCGTTAACTTCATGGCCCCATGTCGCATGGCTGGAGTGTTTACTTGGCCAGCTAGAAAGGACACCCCGGAAGTCAACAGGACATTCATTTTGTGTTGCGGATTAGTCCCAGAAGCCAGAAATTCGGGAAGACAGTGGTTTTTGCGACGGACGCACCCTCAGGTGCGTTCAGAGCTAAGTTATCTACACATGGGATTTCGTCGGCTACAATCGCGCAAGGTGTTCTCAACCGATTAACAGCCCAAGAAATAGTACATGAATTTGATCCTTTAAAACTCCCATATTTTGTCGGGATATCTAAATATCTTCCATATTTAGCCTTTTCAGTTTCAAATTAAGTTATCCAAGTTAAAATGTGAACGTATATGAATGATAAAAACGTTGTAGTCCCGTAGTATTATTGCGCAATATGCAAATTACTGCCGAAACGATTTACCGCTGTCGAAAAAGTAGGACAGCAAATTATACTATAATAAAGGTGTAAGCTCTGAGTAAGTTCGTGACTCTAGAATAACTTGCGCATTAATAAAAGAAGAACTATTTTCGTGACTCATACCGCGGGTTTAGCTGAATATGCAGCAGTTATTAATAAATTAGATACAGTACAATGGTTAGTATAAATATCTATTTTTGAAAATGCATGTAACAAGAGAGTTTTTCACGACTTTACAACCATGTAGTCTTTCATGGTAATCTTTATTGAAGGAAGTTATAATATCAGTTCTACTTCCGATTATTGTGGTTTGTTTACATATTTTTCTAGGTCACGATATGAGTTAACCATGGCTATTCTAAAAATAGATTCTTCTTCACCTGTGCTGATTTTTGGACAGGCGATTAGAGATGTAATAAACCAGCGGATTACATGCAATACTTTTAGAAATTCTATACAATTGTAAGAAGCAAACAAGTTGAAAATGGAATTTAGTGTGAAATTAAAAAGGACAACTAACCACTGTAGTGCTTAAGTGACATTTAAATTAAAATAAAAACGATGTGCTCTTGCCTCTTGTTAATAAAAAAAATATAAAAAATACACTATTAATTGCTGATGATTTTAACCATAAATATTTTTAATGAGACATATCCAAGAGAAATAAAAATACAAATGACTTATATTTTATTGTCTATATGCCCACTATGATAACACGAAGCAATTCTAAATAGCATTCTCACATGTATAATGTATTATGCTTGAAGTTTATTTGCATGGTTTTATTTTAGAAATATTTCGTTGACAGTTTTTTCTTCTATTTACATATCATTTCTTGGAATAAATCGATAAGGACACTGATTTACAAGTTTGACCAGAGTTTTTAGGCATAAATTTCATTCTGTATTTAAATGCTTGAAAGTCTGAATTATATCAGTTTGGGACACAAAATATATTGCTCTACAAATTCGAACTTGTATGGAACAAATTTTCTCTGTTATATATTTTGTGTTTTGTTTTTGTTGTTTTTTTTCTAAAAAAAGCCTTAATGTCTCTCCAGTTGCATGTCCATCGCATTCAGTGCTGCAGCACTTTGATTTAAGGAACACCGTGACCTTGAAATAAAGTATTTAGGTTTTAAGGATCAGTTTTTTTAACTGAAATTGAAATAAACATTATGTCTTGGTAACATTTGTTATGACTACTACAAAATCAAGAAAACTGTGATGTTTTGACTGGACTTGTATATTTTGTTCACATGGACTTGTTTATTTTGAAAATGAAACAATCAATTAGTCAATAGTTCTTAAAATATTTCAAGATGAGAGATTGAAAACTGCTGCCATCTTAGCCAACTGTGAATTGTTTATTGTTATTTATAACTGTTATAATGTATTTAATTTAATTTATTTTATTTTATTATCTTGTAGCATATTCTTAAAAAGAAAATCATGATGAAATACGGGTTTTACCATTTGAATAAATTTTGAAAAAAAATGTTGGATTTTGTGTGTGTGAAAATAAGGTGTTTTAAGGTCAGGATGAAAAGACACCAAAAAATAGACTTCAAAAATGAAAAGAGCAGGAAAAAATACAAAAGATGACCAAGTTTCATGCAGATATCTAAATTTTTGAAAAAATTATGAAAAAAAAAAACTAAGTAAAACTCAAAATCGAGTTCCGCGTTCCGCGAATCGAACTATATAAACAAATCAGAGTAAAAATTCTAAAAAGTCGACAAAACTTTATGACTTTAAAAGATCATAACTTTTTTATTAGTAGAGATAAATTGAAAATTCAAACTGTTCTGTAATGGTCTCACTTAGATCTTTAATGTTAACATAGTTGCATACTATTATATATATATTACTTTAATAAATGGTCTGGGGTTGCTATCAAGAGGCAGCTTGGGATTGCTACCGAGGTATCTGTGATCAAGGTCACTGTTACTAAAAATAGAAATTCAGTTTCTGCTCAATAAATTAAGTTTGCTTTGACCTATTGACACTAAACTTGGTGTATGGATAGCTTATATCAAGAAGCAGCTTGGGATTGCTACCCAGGTGTCTGTGATCAAGGTCAAGGTCGCTGTTACTAAAAATAAAAATTCAGTTTCTTCTCAATAACTTGAGTTTCCTTTGGCCTATTGACACCAAACTTGGTGTATGGATAGCTTATATCAAGGTCACTGTTACTAAAAATAGAAATACAGTTTCCGCTAAATAACTTGTGTTTGCTTTGGCTTATTGACACCAAACTTGGTTTACGGATAGCTTATATTAAGAGGCAGCTTGGGATTGCTACCCAGGTGTCTGTGATCAAGGTCAAGGTCACTGTTACTAAAAATGGGCAGGCGGGCGGCGGCTTCAACTTTTGGTTTCTGCTCAATAACTTAAGTTTGCTTTGGCCTATTGGCACCAAACTTGGTGTGTAGGTAGCCTATATCAAGAGGCAGCTTGGGATTGCTACCCAGGTGTCTGTGATCAAGGTCTAGGTCACTGTTACTGAAAAAAGAAATTCAGTTTCCGCACAATAACTTGAGTTTGCTTTGGCCTATCGACACCAAGCTTGGTGAATGTATAGCTTATATCAAGAGGTAGCTTGGGATTGCTACCCAGGTGTCTGTGATCAAGGTCAAGGTCACTGTTACTAAAAATAGAAATTCAGTTTCCACTCAATAAGTTGAGTTTGCTTTTGCCTATTGACACCAAATTTGGTGTATGGATAGCTAATATCAAATGGCAGATTGGGATTGCTACCCAGGTGTCTCTGATCAAGGTCAAGGTCACTGTTACTAAAAAAAGAAATTCAGTTTCAGCACACTAACTTGAGTTTGCTATTGCTTATTGACACCAAACTTGATCAAGAGGCAGCTTGGAATTGCTACCCAGGTGTCTGTGATCAAGGTGACTGTAACTAAAAATAGAAATTCAGTTTCTTCTCAATAACTTGAGTTTCCTTTGGCCTATTGACACCAAACTTGGTGTATGAATAGCTTATATCAAGAGGCAGCTTAGGTTTGCTATCCAGGTGTCTGTGATCAAGGTCAAGGTCATTGTTACTAAAAATAGAAATTCAGTTTCCGCTCAATAACTTGAGTTTGCTTTGGCCTAATGACACCTAACTTGATGCATGGATAGCATATATCAAGAGGCAG